TGCAGCCTTCCTGCCAAGTTCAGGACAGCCAGTTGGACAGATGCATGACAGCAATTACATCCCCCTCAACAAAGTGTCCCCACCGTTGTGTTTCTGAGGCCAAACATCACCCTTGTCTGTAACAATGAGCATCATTTGCCAAGAGCTACATGCTTTTTTTGTTGGCAGGACCAGAAGTTTTTCAGATCTCAGATCTGGTCTGCTCTAAAAAAAGATGCCTGGGACTTTTAAATGCTGGACAGATTTGATTAATTATCACATCTTGTTAAACTCCTCTGCATAAACACCATCACTGATGGCTAGTGAAACAATTATAGATATAAAAAGATGGAAAAGACGTAGTTAGTCTACTTTTCTTTAAAGCAGCAAAGATGTTGGTTTGTCGACGTCAGATGCATGTTTCTTTTGAAAACCCCATCCACGCTGAAACTGGTCCTGCTCACGACAACAGACACACAGGTGTGTGAGAAACATTGGAAGGGGTGTGGGCCGTGGAGGGGTACGTGTGCACGGGCACACGTGGGTGGATACTCGTGCTTTTCAGTTCCTGCCTCTCTGCCGCCATCCCTTGCTCGACCCGGCCCTTTTCACGACGGTAATTGTTTAAGTAATATGTTTTAATGCCTTGGGATGTTTTTTCTGATCTCAAATATTTAAAATAAATAAATAAATCTAAATAGTGAATTACTTGTTCAGATTTGAAATGATTGAAAGCAGATTTATTTCTGCTGACTGCTTACTGATGAGGTTTTAGTGCCCTTGGGCCAGTACCAATCTTTCCAATGCTGCTCTTCTGTCAGGCTTTGCTGCTAGCCTGTCACGTCTGCATAGCTACAGCTTAATAGGAGAGCCGGTGGCTGGAACTGGATCATGTCTCAGTCAGGTGACTTCCACGTGCTGTGTTTGCTGCAGCAGGGCGGCCCCTAATCTCAAAAACCAGCTCCCAAAAAGTCATTTTAGTATCGTAGATATCTGCTCGGATATAAAAGTGGTGTTAATTAGACTGAGTATCACCTGGTTAGAGAGGCCGTGCTTTATGTGGTAACTGCCAGGATGTACGCAGGTGTGTGAAGAGTTAAACTAACATCTGGACTTCTGCTTTGTTGTGATTCTGTTGTTGCTCTGTCGGAACTTTCTGTGTTGGCATCTTGATGTTTTCTATTTTCGAAACAAAGATTTTAATCAGATGTAACTCCACACAGTTCCGTTTAAAAGTTTCAGAGTCTCTGACTTTACAGTTTACTGTACTTTCTACTCCATAGATGTAATTATTTAACTCATCTTCACATTTTCTTTTTGTTTAAGAGGCTTTTTAATGAGCACACCCACTTTGTGCCTCCATCTGTGAGTTCCTGTTGGTTCCCATGTTTTGGCTCTTTCATTACTGCATCTCTGTTTCTGCCTGCTTCTCTGGCCTGGTTTGGATCAGCCCAACAGACCCACTCTTTTGGGGCTCGAGAACGTGCTTTGATTGGCTCACACAAAATTTGACTGCACCATGACATCATAGCCGCCGGAGCTTGCTGTTTGGCTGATGCCAAGAGTGGGGGATGGAGAGCCCGGCGGTTAGACGCAGGGTGAGGCGGCGGGAGGGCTCATGGGAAACGCAGAGACTGAGTGACGCTGCTGAGTGCCTACAGGCCTTCTCTCCCTCGCAGTTGCTCTCATTTTGAGTTCCTCTCTGCTCTGCCAGGCTTCAGCTCGTCTCATGGTGGAAACTCAACACTGAATGTCACTTAACTGTTCTTGCTGTTTCTCGTTGGAGGCAGCAGGAGGGGGATCTTGTTAATCTGAAAACTGTTTTCATTCCTGGTGGCTTAAGTTCCTGAGCCGGGGAAAAGAGGACAAGGAGCTGTACCCAATGCCCCACCTTTGTTTGACTGGTTGGACCAATTCACTTATTAAAGCTGCTTTCCGGAGTTTTCCTCTTTCAGAAATTGTGAATGATTTGTCAGAAATCCGTAAAAGTGATTATCTCATCATGTACTGTGATATAATATAAGCAATATGTCTTTTTTTTGTTGCTAAGCACGCCCCCTGCCCGGCAGAGCTCCGTGCAATAGGAAACTGAGCGCTGACCAGAACTATCCAACAGCGTTGGACTACCGCTTAGACGCTTCAAATTTAAGGAATACCTTGGCTGATGCAGAGTTGATGAACTTTTCACAGACAAGAAAGTCGCTAAAATATAAATATATGGCAACACATGACATGAGAATAATACTCGTAAAACAACGTGTTTTAGCTGTTTGTCGGCTACAAAAGCACATTTATAAACAGAAACGTGAAGTCGCCATCTTAAAAAAACAAAGGAACAGCGTTTTTGTGTGATATGCTTGTCAGCCACTAGATGGTGCCATTAGATAAGAGAAATACTCCGGAAAGAAGCTTTAAGTCTTAGTGTGTGGTGGTGATTTACCCAAGACTACATCAGATACCAAACTTTCAGGATTCATGAGACTTCCGTGTTTTTAGAGCCTGTTTGACTCGCGTTTTTAGAAACTGCCCAGTTTGAGATCTTTAGTCTTTAGCAATTGGTGTGGCCGACACCTGATGCACAACACCATTTAATTTTATTATTACTTTTCAATTTTACTTACTACAAGAAAAATCTCAAAGCTGTTTGACCAATGAGAAAACAGGAGGGGTTTATGTGTTTTTGTCCACATCCAGGTGTTGGTACATATGTAGGCCCAAGTACAGGTGAAAATTAGAATATGGTGCAAAAGTTCATTTATGCCACTTATTCAACCCAAAAGGTAAATCTAATATACGAGATTGACTCATTACTCGCAAAGCCAAATATTTCAAGTATGTTATAAATGTTATGATTATGGCTTATATCTTATGAAAACCCCAAATTCAGAATATCAGACAGTAAGAATATTGTGAAAAGGTTAAATTTTCTAGACTCAGTGTCACACTCTAATCAGCTAATCAATCTAGAACACCCGCAAAGGGTTCCCGAGCCTTTATATGGTCTCTCAGCCTAAGTTGAATGACTGGAATCGGGTAACTTTTGCACCATATTCTAATTTTTCCAGTTTCACAGGCCTTGTGCTTCACATAAAAGGAAATCACAAAAAGTGCCAAAGGTGTTCTGGTTATTCAGAGTTTCTCTTTGGGAGGAAAACTTAAATGACTGAATAAATTCATCAGTTGTCTTTCTCAAACTCATGGCCAGAGTCATTTAGGACACACTTGATTAGTTTTATTAGAGAAGCTTGCATTTTAATATCAGCTAATCATGCATATTTTATTGCAGGAAGCCAACATATTAAAACTTGACAAATTTATCTTTGTTTTGCTCCATCATGCATCTGATGCGTGTTGAAACCATCAACACATGGCTTGAAACAAAGAGTTGATAAAGAGTCGGTTTGTTTTTAAATCAGTAAAATGAAGGTTTCATTATGTCAAACAGCTGTTAGCGCTGGATTCTTCTTTATTATTGTTATACTGTGCATATATAAATCTAAGTATTGCTTCTAACTTTAAGTTCAAGGATAATTTATTTCTGCTGCCTTTTTAATATTCAGCATCGTGATGAAGACGTAGAACAGTGGAGTCTGCTAGGCAGCTGTTACCGGGTGAGGGGTGACGGCCTGATGTGTTGACCTGCGGATGTCCTGTAGCGATGTTCAGCAGCGCTGCTGCTCTCACAAGACCGACTTGCATCTTTTTACAAGATATAATCAGACAATGGTCATTGCACACTTTATTAATTTAGACTATATTCTCCATCTACTGACCCAAATAAGAACTTTTGGTTCAATGGTTTAGATTTTTTTGTTTCCTGAGGTTGAATAAAATTTTTCTGAATGAAATATTCATATATAATTTGTTTTCATTCAAAAATGCAATCTTGTGCCTAAATAAATTAGATTTGCAAAACAAGAAATGCAGAGAAATTATTCCCATGTTCACTTAATGTTTTTGTGTGTAAAAAAAATCTAAATGATGAGATCTTCTGTTGCCAAAATGCTTTTGCAGTCATAAAATGTTCCTTTATAATATTAATTAATATAATAATAAACAAATATTTGTAGTTATAATAAACCTTTTAAAATACCTACATAATTTAAATTGTATTATTTGTTTTGTTCAGTAAAATTGATATTTTTAATTGCTTTTGTTTTGTAACTATTATCTCTAAGAAGCTAAAAAAATCCTTTTAGTTTTTGCTCAAAGTCACTGAGATGTTTTTTGTTTTGGCTTTCTGCACTTCCTGTGTGTGCAAACAAGATGGGTGAATGCTTAAACTGGTTTGTGTTGGACATTTTAGCAGGGATGCTGTGGTTATGCGGGTGGAGTTTAGTGCAACACCAACCTCTTTGGTCAGGACTACAGGACAGGGTGGGAGTCTGAGCGAGGGGTGGGAGGGAAACGGGAGAATAGCTCCAGCACCAGGCAACCCACCAAGAGCGGTGTATAATCTGAAAGCCCTCGTCCAAGACACATGCAGGGCTAAGATCAGGCACCCTACCAAGACTGGGGCCTGTGGGGACATCCTGGTGAGAGCTAAGCCTCCAATGGGCCTGGAGTGGCGCCAGGAGCCACATACACACAGACGCACACACACGGTAAAGCTTGTGCAGGCTCTCATCCCACCCACACAAATGCAGACACACTGTGCATGTGAACAACAGCACGCAGGGGGAGAATGAATGGAGCAGGGAGACAAAGACAGCACGAAGGCTGAGGAAATCTAAAGTTTGCAGCCTGAGTGGAAGGTTTGGTGTGTGTGTGTGTGTGTGTGTGTGTGTGTGTGTGTGTGTGTGTGTGTGCGTGTGCGTGTGTGCATTAGCACGTCAACATCTCATTCAGTCAGACCTCCCAACTTCAATGGCATCTGTTGTCTATGAAATGAGACTAATCAGGTTAAACCAACATTTTGAAGATCACTAATTAAATTGAGACGACTTGGTGTGTTTGACGTGAAAAAGCTGATTGAGATTGTTTTCTTTGTTCTCATCACTCTCCTCTGTCTTTTTCTGCAGATTACGTTTATTTTGAGAACTCGTCCAGTAACCCTCTGCTGATCAGGAGGATAGAGGAGTTGAATAAGGTGAGTCTCCGGCACAGTTCCTTCTACTGTGCATTACAGTTAGACGCTTTTATCACAGTCTAGCAAATGTATTACATTCATCTGTGTTTGAACACAGATAGTGTGTAACTCCACACTGTTACTGCTAAGCAAGCAAGGGTGAAAGGTTGGGAGTTTGGAATGAAACTGTTACTGTTTTAATGGTTACCATGGCAAAATTTTCTATGAAGAAGATAGAAGAAATTATATTTTTATATAGAGCCTCTCAAGTTAAAAGATCGCAAGGTGCTTCACACGAACAAACATATAAATATAATATAAAAATATTGTAAACAAAATGTAGATGAAAGAAACATTTAGATAAAAAATGAGGGAAGAAAAAATAATAAATATGGTTGGTATAGCCTTTTGAACATCTGTTTACTAATTAAACTCATGGTGACAGTACTATTAAAAAGCATCATTAAGCTTTTCATTCCTGATTGATTAGCTCGTCAACTGACTGACTCCCAGTTTACACCAGGTATGTGAGCGGCGCCTTACTATAATTAATACTTCTCTGGTCTCTGGTCAGGTCCCTGCTTACTTTAAGAACGCTGTAATCCACCCAATTCTTAAAAAAACGAGTCTTGACCCCTCTCTCCATAGCAGCTTCAGACCCATCTCTAAACTTCCGTTCGTCTCCAAGATCTTGGAAACGGTTGTGGCTAAACAACTCACAGCTGCTCTTGATGAACACTTGGCCCTTTTTTGTGTTTGCACCTGACTGTTACTCGCTGATCTGTACCGACGCTGTTTTGAATATATTAGCCGTTTTTATAATTATTGCCTCTCTGTGTTCTTATTTTATTGTGCCTATTTATTATTTCTCATTTTTTTAGCACAACGTACAACAACAATTTCCTAATGTTGTGATTTCTCACACATGTGAAAATAAACCCTTCTGAATCAGATTCTTTCCTGTGATTTTGTGAGTCCAGCTACATGGACTGCAACACAGTCGCTCTGCGTCTGGCACACTCCCGATTGGAATTGACGCGCAGCAGAGGTCACGACAAAACCTTGTCATTCCTGTAATGCACCACTCACACACCCGGTGCACGTTGGGATGCTGGAAAATGTACTTTGTGTCAGTTGGCCACCATTATAGTGGATTGGTTCCTTTCCACTGGTGGCGAAGTGTCATGGATTGGATCCCTATAGCATAAGGATGCAGCGATTACATTTGGAGCCTATTTTTTACTCACTATGCTTCCAGAACACGTTAAACTCTGCAGTTCAGATCGGGCCAGACAGGAAGTCAAACAGTAAAGAAGTGTAAAACATCCAGAAGTTTCAAAACAAAAGTCACGGGAAGATTTCCAGTTGCTTAACTAGTAGATGCACATCATTTCATGTGAAACCTCTGGAAATTAAACCGCAGACCTTTTTTGATACATGCAGCCATCTTTCTCCGTGCTTGTTGTCCTGTGAACTTCCAAAGTCACATGTGGTGTTGCAATTCTCTTGTGATTTTGTGACCTCACCAAATATGTGGAACGCTTTTGCTCCCGTTTCGTGTCTGAAATGCTCCCGGTTGGGAGGGAGCTTGCAGGGTAAAACCTCTATTAAGTCATACACCTCTCCCACATCTGGTGGAAAGGAGCAGTGAGAGTAACTTGGTTGAACTGCTAAAATAGTTATAAAGTTTTTGCTACATGTTCTTCGTCCTTCTGACAATGCAGGGACTGAGCTACCTGTTCGTTTTCAGTGGAATGAGAGATTATGGGATTGAGTACAATGGCAAATGCTTTCACTACATCAAGGAACTTTTTGAGATAAAATTATAATAAATTACCAATCAGAACCATTTATTAAACATACTTATTTCCATCACAGAAGTGTTCAAAAGAAAAGTACAGCCTGGAAATGTGAAATCTACCCGTGTATGCCTAATATAATTGATCCTGTTCTAACTGGAAGCAGTAAAACTTCTATTCTGGTGATTGTGGTAAAACTGAGTGGCTAAATCTCAGCCTTAGAAGAAGGAAAAGCCACAGGTGCTGGGTGTCTGTTCCCTGATGTGATTGACACAGATCCCAGAGTCAGCCCTCGTTCCTGCTCATCACCGTCGGCCGCTGTGCTCCTCAGGGATCTTTTAGGATTCTCTTGATAAGGATGTAGGTGCTGGTTTAGAGCTGTGACTAGAGGAACAGCACGCAAACAGTTTTATTTCACACTTTTGCCTTAAAGATCCCAACATTTTTTTTGTTATCCCATTAGACAATGAGATCATTTGTAACATACATGCAAGAATCTGACATTTTTCAGGGAAAACACTGTAAAAAAGATTCAGTGCTTGATTCCAGCCACACTAAATTTGTAAACTGACACATCAGTTGACTTTATCAGTACAGATATCGTTTTACTCTCCTGCTCCGGCCCGGCTCGGCCCGTTCTGTACCATTGCTGATCCTCAGCTCATGTTAGGGGCTCGACACACGGGAGGCGACAAACGACCGCGATAAGCAAAATTTGTCGCTGTCGCTTTCATTACCTGACACACGGGAGGCGACCCGCGGCCAGCGGCAAAACCGTCTACGCGTTCTGTTCCATGGCGAAATCGAAACTTCCGTTGTTTTGCTTGGCTGTGTCAGGTTGGAGGGAATTAAGGTTATTTAAGTGGTTCAGAGTTAAAAAAGGTGGTAGATATGATGTTTCACAAGGTGCTGCTAGAGTTATGTGAAATCTTACTTCTGATTTTACTATATAAAACATAATAATAATCAACTTCTTCTTCATGTTTGCTCGGAGATGTACGGAGCATCCTGTCCGCTCATTGGTCAGTGAATGAAACCTCCGTTGATTGGTCCTCGTCCGAGCGACAGCGATGAAAAATTGAAAATATTTCAACTTTCTGGGATCGCTTTGCTGGGTCGCCTGTGCACGAGACGTGCACGAGCGCAAAATTTCACACGCACGTTTTTCGTATTTCGTTTAGTAGGAGGGAGATCCACGATTATCGCTTTGTTGCGCATGTCTCATTGAAAATGAATGGAGGAGAGGCGATATCGCCTCCCGTGTGTCGAGCCCATTAGGCTGCAGACCAAGTCTTATCTCGCATGTAACTTGAATGCTCTTTTAATATTCATGATTTCAAACTCCTAATTCTGCTCTGCCTTGACAGATAGTTTTACATTTTTACTTAATTAACTTTAAAAAATGTAATTAGTTGGTGTTGCTGCTTGGCCACAGTGTAAGGCTCCTTCAGTTAAATCTGATGCCGGAACAAAAATATATATTTTTTCATTTTTGGAAAATTCTGTCAGATATTACGTCCAAATTGGGCCATACACCAATAATTGATTTATTTAAACAGCCAGTTATTATTTGTTTCATATCTCTTTTAATTAGGTGAACTAGAAAATTTGGATTTTAATTATTAAATGACTAAGAAAGAAGATGGATGCTGTTTCCCACCGTGGTAGGATTCATTAGTTTTTATTCAGTATGTGGGCTCTCTCATGGTGTACTTCGATGCTTATCTGGAATAACATTTAGAATTCATCAGTTTACACAAATTTCATTTATGGAGGTAAAAAGATTTGAACACATTTTAAATTTGTTGATTAACTCTTCATGTTTTATTCAGTAAAGCATAATTATAACCTTTGTATTTTTACCAGAATACTAATGTGATTATTTATGCTTTTCTACTGTTTTAAAAATGCTTCAATCTCTAACTTATTTTTAAAAACTGAATCTGTAATCCTGGTTTTTCATCTGTGTGAGCACACGGGCACGCGTGTTGCTGCTCTTTGCGGTTGATGCACCACTTGTTGCCTTGGTAACGCCAATTTTCTCTGCTTTGCAGACAGCCAATGGGAATGTGGAGGCCAAAGTGGTGTGTTTTTACCGGCGCAGGGACATCTCCAGCACACTCATCGCTTTGGCAGACAAACATGCAAGTGAGTGACCGACCATAACCTGACCAGCACGCATCAGAACTGCGCCATTAAAAAAAAACCTTTAAATGCTGTAACACTCTATCCAGATAAGTCTACACTGAAACAATTGTGCCCCTACTGTTTATTTGGCTTGACTGTGAAGCTTGTTTAAATATTTTATGGATCAAGTCCTGATTAAAACCAATACATTCCAGTTTTTACTGAACCGGCTTCAGACTACACTCCAATGGGCGTGTCAATATCTTTTCTGCTGTTTTCATCAGTCTGTCTACACCTCGGTGACTTTTGTTAAGTGTGTAGTTGCAGCAACACAGTGTTGCAGTGTTCTCCAAAATTATTAGTAGTAAATATGAAATCACTGTTTAATATTTCTAACAACTTTCCTTTAAACCCAGAAAATTTAAACAGTTTTATCAATAATCAATATTAAATTAATCAATAATACAGCAAAAAGGAGACATAAAGCTTTGTTGTTGTAATATGAACTGTGCTTAGAGCTTTTCAAGACAAGGGCCAAAACAATCAAGTTTAAAATCCTTGTAGGCTCTCCTGACAAGCCGTCCTACATATATTGACCCTTTGCACGTGACGTCACGCCACTCATGTGACCGCCCCCTTCGCCATGATGGACGGCAAAAAGACCGTTTACACCTGTAGAAACTCCAGTGAAGGTAGTCAAAACAAGCCAGTTTGTAGCCTTTTATCGCTTTTATTTAGTTGATTTGATGGTAAAAGGGTTCTAGCTTGCTTCGTGGTTGGCTGCACTAAGAGACAAGGACGTAAACTCAACTCGTTTTTTCTTTTTAATAACTTTGATGGAGACTGATGACAGAGATGAACTGCCGCGTTAAGTGGACTAGCAGCCCTCAGATTTGCAGCGAACATGTTTTTACCGGGTAAGATTGACGTTCATTTATTTCACGAGGAAGACAGGGACAGGGATAAATGTGATGTGCTTATACTAGTTATTGATAATCCTGATAGGTGGGTATTTCACCACGGATGATGCGCGCTGTCTACTGTAGTGTAAAGCAAAATAATTATTAACAATATTAAAGCTCCGATGTATGATTACGTGTTAAAATTACGTTATTTATTTATATGAGCGTCGCCGTTCAGAGATCTTCTCATTCCGGTGTGAGAGCAGCAGCTGAACCCAGTAACACCACCAGCAACAAGGGATCCGGACTTTTTAACAATCAGCTTTGGTGTAAAGTGAAACGCTGTTTATAACATAAAGTAATAAATTCAGCAGGGCGAATTTAGGCAAAGTCAACAACATGTTTACATTGGTGAACAGCTGCAGAGAGAACGTACGCTAACGTTGGTAAACCCCGGCTAGATGCGCTACTTCTTCTGATAACTGAACTGGGCATGAACTAGTTGAAGGAATGCTGGAGGAGTTTTGTTTTAGTTTTGATCGCAAAAACAATTTCAGGCTCTACTTTCCTCTTTGTTTAGTACTCGTGTTGCTTACTGTTTACATGCTTTTGCCGTCCAGCGTGGTGGACCCGCGTGATTAGGTGACGTCGGTGCAAAGGGTCAATATAAATATATAAACCTCTGGCAATGGGCCATTGATGGCTCTCTTTCGTGGGGCAGGATTTACGGATGTCTTTCAAACCATTTCCGCGTGTTACAGAGTAACAAACAACATGACATACTCACCGATACGGCAACTTGGCAGTCCACCATACTCAAAGATGCAAATGCATCCTTTTTCTAAATAGACTTATGTACCCCTATCTGCTCTTGACTCAAAGAAAAGGCCAAGTCAAAAGAGTCCAATGTTGATGCCAAAGCTGTTTCAAATGTGCCGTTGCCATCTTTTTTTTCAGTAACATCCCACCAACAGAGTGCTGTGATTGGCCCACCAAACCTATAGAGCGCTAGGATTGGACCGCTATAGATGTCAGTCAACAGGGTAGTTCGCAATTATTACATCATGGAAGAAGCAGGGAAGAAAATGAAATAAAATAGTTTTTCTAAATAAATGCACCGTGATTGGCCAGCCACAATACTGGCTGGGGCTGCTGAGGTTCCAGTGGAGCATTTCTAGACTGACAAGTTAAAGCAAAGTTATTTTGTTTTGGCAAATGATGGTCTAGATTCGAGGCTACTTGTGGTCTACAGAAATGTTGTTTTCTTAAATAAAAACAGAAAACTTATTTTATGGTAACTTTATTCATTTGTAGTCCTCAGGCAGGTCCAAAATAGGCATTTAAGTAAACATCTGAACATAGAAATTTTAGAAACTTTGTCAACAGCCTACTGGAGACACAAAATTAAGCACTCTAGAAGTTCAAGTGGGGCCCCCACAAATGGCCCCTGGGCTGCTCTTTGGATATGCCTGGCTTAGGATGAAATGTGTTTGAGGACTGACCCATAACACGTAGGGCTGCTCGATTATGGCAAAAATGATAATCACGATTATGGTGACTGAAATTGAGATCTCGATTATTTAAGACGATTTTTCAATTTATGTTGATTTTATTTGTTTTTATTCAGTCATAAAACTGCTCAGGGCACAATCAGGACAAAAATAAGAAACAAGATGATCACTAAAATAACTCCTGATTCCCAGTATAAAAAGACCAATATACTTATAGCTCATAGTTTATGACCCAAGGGCTATAGACCTTGGTTTAACTAATTTAAGTCTAACCAGTACAGACCCAAATACCAATATCTTGCAAATACTGACAGCAAGAATTATACAGTGGCATTTATAACAATAAATGTAAATAAATTGATGTTCACAAAATGTTGCATAACATTTATTTTGTGTCAACTTTAGGAGAGTGCACTAGCACAGTGTCCTCAGAGAGATTAGTTATTAGTTATCAGCGTGAGGAACTTATTTCTACCTTATTTATAAACTATGTATTTACAGGTCCATCTGATAATGTAATAATCGTCCCAACCACAGCTGCACCCCCCAACCCGGTCTCAGTGATCGGGGCAAGCTGCACATGTGTTTAGCTTGCCACACGCACACATTTAGCCGTTTTTAGTGGCTCAGGAGTCCGCAGGTACGGTGTGTGTCACTCACTCTGGTTACTCCAACAGGGAGCCGGCTCTTGAGAGCCGTTTCTTTAGCGACCAACACATCACTACATCATTCCCTTTCCTAATGTCCTGAAGAACGGTCCGGAGCGCAGGCGGAGTGTTTAGCTAACCTGCAGGAAATGTCGACGACCGTTATCCAGAAAGTAGTTAAGGGTTACCAGAGATGTGTCTGAGGTGTTCGCTAGGTATTTTTACGATTTAAAAAGTCAAGAAGGGGGTCTGAAAAGCTGTTAGAAATAGCGTCAAAGTCGCCAAGTTGGCAACACTGTGGGAGGAGCGCTTCATTTGCAACTCGGGGCAGCGCAAGTGGGAGGAGCAAATAATCGGCTTGCTTTGTTTTTATAATCGTTCAAAACTCAGATCGTAATCGTGATTAAAATTTGATTAATTGAGCAGCCCTAATAACATGCCTCACAACCATTTTAAAATTATCGTTTGCGTAAGGAAGCAAACTTTCTCCTAAAGTATATTTTTATGACATTATCTAAAGGACTGTTTTTCCGATTTCTTCTGAAAAACAAATTCTCTATCTTTGTCTTTTCTGGCAAGATATTATCAGATTTTTATTTTAAAAATGTTGGTGATCATTTCCGATCACATGTTAAAATTTGAATGGTTTCTATAAATTAATCTCAAAGTGATGGGATCCTCTGTTATCTAATAGGAATGTGCATCTGTGGTCTGCAGCTTGTATGTTGTTTCTCACTATGCTGTCAAACATTTGGTAGCTTAAAGATGAATGACCAGTAAAAACTGAAAACAATATGATTCTCTCCTAAATCATGGAGCACTCTGTGTCAAATTTGCATAAATAATTCAAACAAATGTCAGATAAGAACTTGGTTTAGTTCGCAGATTTAAGCTCTTCCGTTCCTCCCTCTTAACACAGAAACACTGTCATCCTGTTACGGATGTTAGCCAACCAGATGCTAAATGTTGACTGGGTGTGGTGGGCTTTGTTGGCTCATGGAGTTTGAAAGTGTGGTTTTACAGGTCAGAGAGCAACCAATGGCCTGTTTGAATATGTGAGTGTGTAAATATTCATCCTAACTTGAGTGTTTACAGACGAGGCCAGGTAGTGCATCTGTTACAGGAGTTTCTTTTGTTGTTTTGGACCTAAAGTCTTTAGTTTTGATTAGGAAAGGAATTTATTTCTGTTAGGAAAGTGCTGCAATGTAGGTGTTACAATTAATAGGATTTTCTTACTGGTACAAATGTTGCTACAGAAGGTTTGGAGAGATTTTAAGAGCAGAGTGGATCTCATGTTTCTTCTGTGGTAACCACAGTTTGGTGAGGGGTCTGCACCACATGGGTGTGGTCTATATCCTGGACATTCATGTGGATCCAGTGTGTTTGTGCCTGTTGGATGAAGACAGTTTCCCTTTGTCATAGATGCTTTATAGTGGATGCGTATTGTCCATGTGTGCAGATAGACTCGTGTATGTGTCAGCTCTGAGTCATTGATCAAATATCTTTACTTGCAGAGATTTGGAGCTCTTCCCTCAGCGAGGCCTCCAACTCCAGTAGAGTGAAGTATGTTCCTGAGTGGACGAGTTTGTGGCGGATTTGGCATTTTCCCCTCTGTGGCTCCTTCTTTCAAATGCTCCAGTTTGCCATGACTCAGACCCTTTCCCCCTGTTTTTGAAATGTGGTGCCTTCATTCTATAAACAATGGTCACAAGGTTGCCAGTGAATAAAAAGTAGTCTTAACACAGAACACTGGGGATGTTGTTGCTATCCCAATAATAAAAAAATGCAAACTTTTAACGAACATTTCTTTAAATAAATCATTCCCAATGTTCTCTAGAGGTTTCCCGGGCCTGGTTCAGTGGAAAGAGATCTCGGGTCAGATCCAGAACTTTCTGTAGGGATTGTATTTCCTCTCTGGCCTGGGAGCGCCATGAGCTGGAGAGTGTCACTGGGGAGACGTA